AACAATTGAGATGTCAGTTCAGAGGGAGTTACGTGGACTCAAGATTAATGGGCATTTTTCTGTACTTGCAGAAAATGTAAGTCTTAAAATAAAAAAAAAACGAATGCAGCCACCACATCTAAGGACCTGTCAGCTGCAATAAATTAAATTTTTGTTTCTGGGGTTTAGATATATTTTTAAAGACTGCTGAAGAAAAAAAACCCTCCATTATAGTTACATAGTGTATTGAGTGTATGACAACGAGATGAGCCATGAAGCAAAGTTATTAAGTAGCAAGCATGCACGTCAGGTCTGTATACATAATGAGCAAATATGGCTGCCAACTAGTACTTATAGCTATATATTTATAAACTATAGATAGACACAAAAAATTTTAAGAGCCCGCTTACACCAGCAAGCTGCGCTTAACACAGCCGCTGGTGTGCGCCGACAGGTACAGTGTTGATGCGCCGATCCCGACATCACACCATTTACTTTTTTCTTAGAACTTTGTTTACATCAAATTACATTTCATGAAGCTGAAGCATGATGTGCTGCGGTTGTACTGTGTTGCACAATGCTGCGCTGAAAAGAAGTACGCAATGCAAGCAGCCCCAATGTATCTGGTGTGAATGGGCCCTTAAGTGCTTTTGAATAAGCTTATATACACTGATCTGAGCATGTTCACACATATATGTAAAAAGAATGAACCGTTACCATAAAGTGTAATATCAGCTGGGTTACACTGACCCTATAAAACTTGCCCAGGTTTGCACTGAGGACAAGGTAACATAGATATCACAAGGTTATAGGTTAAAAGAAGTCAGAACTAAACAAAATGCAACTATAGAAAACCAATATAAAGACGCAAAACAATATATAAATGAATAGCAGTTTTAACACTTCCGGAGAAAGATTGAAATGTTTTGTGAAAACACAAATGACCATTTACACTGGGATCCCTCAAGCCACTTAATGAGTCAACCATCAACCTGGTTTCCACGATGTTTCCAAGTCGCCATGATCCGAAACAACTCATTGCCCTAGATTCTTTGTCCAAAACCCACAGTCCATCCCTTCAATAACCCTTCATGTAAGCAAGAAGTTTCCTGAAGTCCTTCTAAATAGTTAATGAAGAAAGGACGATTAGGACAGGTCCAGTCCAGTAGAGCAGTGGCAAAAAAAACAGCTAGAAAAGGGTGACAAGTGGGCAGCGCCACTACTCTAATGGACAAGTTCAGGCTGATTCTCCACAAATGGCAGCACTCCGCTGACATAGTAAGCTATGCCTAGAGAAAGCAGAGCAATGACAATAAGCAGAAGGAGCACCCTCCAGAATCCCAGATCCTCCACAAATTCCTGCCAAGTGGTGCGGAAGCTGGACAGGACTCCTTCTCCCTGCTGCAAATTTGGATTCAGGAGGGAATGGCTTTCCATAGCACTGTAAAACAAGACAAGACAAGTTACAAAAATGCACAGCAACTATTCATTATCAGTATACAACACATCACATACAGAAAAGCCTTGCGTCAGTCAAAGCAAGCAAAGTGGAAGTGCTGAACTTTGCAACTAGAAATCTTTCATTCTTTGCCATATGGGCATTATAGTTAGCCCCCACCCACTAGAAAATGGCCGTGAAAAAGTTGGAAACTCATTGGCTACTATAGGGTGTTGCAGGTAGTTCTGAGACATGTTGATGAATTAGATAATGTCCCATCTGCGCAAAAAAATTAATTACCATTCTGGACACTCCGTTCTCATTACAGCTTAGTAAGGTTGAGCCTGATAAAACCACACACATCTCTCACTCTCTACTAGCATCTTTCGCTCCCCTCTAAAGCATGTCCTGGTCACCCCAATACCCAAAAAACCCCCACTGGACCCTACCAACCTCAACAATCTCAGACCAATCTCTTTACTCCCATTCACCTCCAAGCACATATGTTGAGTGACTATGCTGACTGTTGGAGAAGGTAAAATGAGCAGAGGGATGAATTCAACAGTGGGCTGCTGCTCAGCTCTAATATATATATATATATGCTATAATTTCGCTCTGAAGTTGCTAGAGTGCCAGGCCATTATAAATACGGAAGCAGGTTGTTTACCACGACAGTAGAAGTGATTAATCTATATATCTCTCTCTATCTCAACTGTGCATTATGTATTCAGCTGCTTGCACGGCGTTCAGCTACAGAGCAGAGGAGGCAGACGAAAAATAGGCACCATAGCCAATAACTAAACATTAGCACTGGTGTGTATTCCCGGATTCCCTGGCTTGTGTCTACACCATCTACAGCAGAATATGACTAACTAGAGACATCTACTGGATATATTGGTAGATGAGCATGAAGTGACTAAAGATAAGAATACTTCATATATACCAAACTAGAGCTTATAGCTACAACTTAGACCCAACAAGTGACCGTGTTTAGTGCCACTTTGAACTCAGGAGTTAAATCTTAAAAATACATTCAAGTATCCTATTAACAAAAATGTATCTTATTTGTGTATCACTTGTCCTCAAATCATCTCTGAATTGGTGCTGACACTGTCATTCCTTCTGGAGGGGGGCTACTTTTGTTCCCCATGGTTCCTGTGTGTATTGTAAAGTAAAGTAGTCACCACTCCAAGCTCACTCCTGTGATGGACTACAATCTCAATACAAATTAGTAAACTAAACTAAACATGAGACTGTAGTCCATCATGGGAGTGAGCTTGGAGCGGTGACTACTTTACAACACACACAGGCACCATGGGGGAACAAAAGTAGCCACCCTCCAGAAGGAAGGACAGTGTCAGCACCAATTCAGAGATGGTTTGAGGATCTACAGCCGAGTGATACACAAATAAGATACATTTTGGTTAAAAGTTAAGGTACTTGAATTTTTTATTAACATGCCTTTTGTTAGGCAACGCAAATTATTCTGCCCTGCAAGCCACGTCTCTCAGCAAGGTGCATTGGGGTGCCATTCAGAATAAATGGCACCACATTGCACCAACATGCACTGTACATTACGAATGGACCCTCACAGACAGATAAAATTAAGATACATTTTTGTTAATTGTTCAGGTACTTGAATGTATTTTAAAGATTTAACTCCTGAGTTTAGTGTCACTTTAAATCAGATGTAAAGTAATGTTTATAAACTAAAGCAGAGTATTTGTAAGGTATATATTTCATTTGTTTGGAAAATAATGCAAAATATATATTTTTTTAATGTTTTTTGGTCATGGACCGCTATCTCCGTTTTCTACTGTGAAAGCAAGAAAAGAAAATGCTCAAAAGAATATGGTGTGCACATATGTATATACACTGATCACCCATACCATTATGACCATCCGCCTAATACTGAATAGGTCCCCTTTTGCTGTCAAAACAGCCAGGAACTGGAGTCCACTAGATCTCTGAAGGTATGCTGTGGTATCTGGAACCAACCTGTCAGTAGCAGATCCTTTAAGTTGCGAGGAGGGGCCTCCATGGATTGGACTTGCTTTTCCAGCACATTCCACAGATGCTCAATTGGATGAGATCTGGACAATATGGCATCAAGAGTCAACACCTCGAACTCATTGTGTTGTTCCTCAAACCATTCTAGAACCATTTTAGCAGTGTGGCAGGGCGCATTATCCTGCTGAAAGAGGCCACTACCATCATAGAATACTGCGAGTCCCGCAAGTTGTGAGGTGGGGCTTCCAGGGATTGACATTGTTTAACCATCACATTTCACAGATGATGGAATAGATTGAGATCTGGAGGTATTTGGAGATCGAATCAATACCTGCAACACTTTGTTGTGTTCCTCAAACCATTCTTGAACCATTTTTGCACTGTGGTAGGGCGCATTATCCCACAGAAAGAGGACACTTCCTTCAGGGAACAGCGTTTCCACGATGGGGTGTGCTTTGTCAGCACCAATGTTTAGGTAGGTGGTATGTGTCAAAGTAACATCCACATGAATAGCAGGATCCAAGGTTTCCCAGCAGAACATTGGCAAAAGCATCAAGATGCCTCCACCTTCTTCCCACAGTGCATCCTGGCGCCATCTTTTCCCCAGGTAATAAACACACAAGCACCCTGCCATCCAAATGATATAAAACAAAACATGATTCATCAGACCAGGCCACCTTCTTCCATTGTGGTCCAGATCTGATGCTCTCCTGCCTTTTTTTCGGTGGACATGGGTCAGCATGGGCACCCTGTCTGGTCTGCCCCATACACAACAAACGGCAATGCACTGTGTGTTCAGACACCTTTCTATCAGGACCAGTATTCACTTTTTCAGCAATCTGAGCTACAGTAGCTCTTCTATTGGATCGGACTACACAGGCCAGCCTTCACTCCCCATGTGCATCAATGAGCCTTGGCCACCCATGACCCTGTCGCCGGTTCACTAGTTTTCCTTCCTGGGACCACTTTTGGTGGGTCCTGACCGCTGCAGACACAGAACATCCAACAAGAGCTGCAGTTTTAGAGTTGCTCTGACCCAGTGGTCTAGTCATGACAATTTGGACCTTGTCAGAGCCGCTCACATCATTACACTTGTCCATTTTTTCTGCTTCCAACACATCAGTTCAGGGACAAAATGTTCACTTGCTTTCTAATATATCGTATCCACTTCCAGGTGCCATTGTAACAAGATAATCAATGTTATTCATTTCAGTTCTCATAATGTTATAGCGGATCGATGTATATCTTTAAAAAAACGCTCATGTGAGAAGACTCTGATGGCGATGACTCTGATGAAGGAAGTCCATCAGAGTCATCGCCATCATATGTCCATATGGTAGGTCTCGGGGAAACAAAATTTAGTCATAAAATCACTGCTTCCATCTGAATCTATTCACACAGGTGTCATGCTTTGTAACATAGTGCCTTTTTAGCTATATATACTGACATATTAGCATTTATCTGACAGTAAAGCTTCTTTCCCTAATAGAGTCATAATAGAAACTTAAGTTCAGTGTGCAATAGGGAAACTGAGGGGGTACAATCTGATATTGTAATTGGAAGTATGATTACATTTTTTATTTAATATAACTAAAAGGTCTCCATCAAACTTCTAACCAGCCCACACACAATAATAACATCCACCTTATGAGCAGTGAATAGTCTCCTATACCATTCATTGTTTGCACTGTTGCAGGGCTAAAGTGTCACGGTTTGGTTACAATGGCACTCATGAGGCGTTTTTTTTTTCAACCGTTGTGCCGTGGCACCCTGGTGTATCTTTTGGCCTCCCTAGGGG